TCGACTGTGTGCAGCTGATGCGCCAGCTGCAGCAGAAATAAGCATGCTTTTCGTTACAGGCCATGCGTGTGCTGCTCGATTTGGCGGCGCTGAGTTTTGTGGAAAGTAACAATGGCAGTAGCCGAAATCGCAGTAGTAGCAGAAGAAGGAAGTAGTAGGAGTAGGAGTAGGGGTAGGGGTAGGAGTAGTAGTCGTAGTAATAGTAACAATAGTCACATAGATAGTGATGGCCGTAGGAACAGTAATAGTGATAGTAGAGATAGTCATAGTAATCACAATAGTTCATCAATCGCAACAGTCTAGTCAAAGCAATAGTATCAGGAATGGTGACTAGTGATTGTAACAGTCATAGCAAGAGTAATTGTCGGAATAGTAATAGTCATCGTAAGGGTAACAGCAACAGTAATCAAGCTGCCGTACCTCCTGGGGCCTTATATGTTCATGGCAGCGCTGCCTCATTTGAGGCAGTGTTCTTGCTATGTTTTTTGTATCTCCCCGGGGAAGGCGTATGTAGTTTTACTCCCTGATGGCAGACATCGTGGCGTGAATGGTAGTGATTCGTAAGCGTGCTGGGTCATGGAGGAAATCTCTTGTTTCCTCTATTGGGGGTTTCCATAAATTAGGGCCCCTTTTTGCGAGGGCGTATTATAAGGATTACTTCTTTTTTGGATGTATGTCGGGCCCCCCCTCGCATAGAAACTACCACGTGCCTGGTACCTAGACTTTGCAATCCTTTAGGATCCTCAGTGATAAAAGACTTCCCCTATCCACCAGCATTATGCTGCTGCCGCCGCCGCTGCTGCTACTGCTACTACTCCTGCTGCTGTTGCTGCTGCTGCTGCTTCCAAGCTACGACGACGACGACTACTACTACCACTACCACTACCACTACTACTACTACTACTGCTACTGCTACTACTACTACTACTACTACTACTACTACTAGTAGTAGGTGCCGCCGCGTCGTAGTCCCGGTGTTTTTTCAAGGTTACATGGGCCGTTTGGGGGTTATAGCGGGACCACGACGAGACGTTGCCCGATTGAATGGATACTCTGGTAACTGTATGCTCTTGGAACACGAACGTGGTTATGGTTTGGGCATGGATGCTGTGGTAAGCGTATGCTCTTGGAACACGAAAGCTAGTACAATGGTTTGGGCATGGATTCATGGATGCTCTGGTAACCGTATGCTCCTGGAACACGAACGTTCTTATGGTTTGGGCATGGATGCTCTGGTAACCGTATGCTCCTGGAACACGAACGTAATTATGGCTTGGGCTCAAAACCACCGGGGCTATGACGCGGCGGTCCCTACTATTGCCACTACTATTGTTACTACTATTATTGCTGCTACTACTACTACTACTACGACCACCACCACGACCACCACGACCACCACGACCACCACGACCACCACGACCACCACGCCAACCACGACCACCACCACCACCACCACCACCACCACCACCACCACCACCACCACCACCACCACCACCACCACTATTCCTATTGCTACTACTGCTGCTAGTACTACTCCTGCCAGTACTTCTACCATTGCTAGTAATACTGTTGGTATCATTCTCATTACTGTAATCGATACCACTACTACCGTTGATCATGTTGTTTTTCTTCCCCCTGCAGTCCAGGACGACGATGCAGGCGAACAGACTGACGTGCCAGAGGAGCGCAGTGGCGAGCTTACGACCAACGACTCGGAAGAGGAGCACGTGTTTCAGAGGGCTCAAAACGTAGGGTAAAGAAAGATGGGGTATAGGGAATAAGCCCCAACATAATACAGTATCTACTGGGGACCCTTGAACCCACCTACCTTCATCCCACCTTTTGAGCCCCCTGAGTGTTGAGGTATTTTGGGGGTTTCCACAAACTAGTGGTCCCTCTTTTGGGGGCCATATGATAGAGGTTACAAGAGTATTGAGTCCATTAAGAAAAACTGCATATGGGGATATTCCTGTTTCACTTCAGGGTGAGGCCCCTTAATTAGGCCTGAGGAGCTCTAAGTAGTTGAAAGGTTTAGGGGGTTGGTGCGGATTTAGGTTTCGCAGGGTATGGATCCTGGATTTGGAGTTGTGCTTGAGTGCTTGCATGATGTTGCTGTTGAAGAAGTACGGATGCCTTGTTCCAGAGATAGTCTCTAGTGAATTCGGGGTCAAGCTTCTGGGGTTTCTCTACAAGCGACTTCGGTGGCTTTCAATTCTCCTACCGGGCGGACTCAGAAAGCCTGTTGCAAAAGGGACTGCTTTAAAAAAGCCGTGGAGCTCCAGAAGGCCTATTACAAAAGGGATATGGGGATTTCCCAAAATTAGGGGTACCATTTTGGTGGTCCCCATAATAATGAACCTAGTATTTTGGGTTCTATATTGGGGTCCCCCCTATTTTGGGAAACAACCATATTACCCTCAATAATGGAGAACCAAATGGAGGAGAACATGGAAAATGCCACGGAAGCTGGGATTATGTAGGGTTTGACAGGGTTTCGAGCTAGGTAGGAATGCATTTCACTAAAGTTATAGCCAGGTGAAAACCGAATCCCCTTTACTTACTATTGTAGATAACACTGACAACTTTCTTCAAAAGATGGTGGAGTTTTTGTGTTAAGAATTCACCTCTGATTGGAAATGGAAAGACATTCTGCGCTTCAAGGGCTCAACTGGGAGACCCTTTTGACTTTGACAGTTACTTAGCAGTGGAGTTTGTAGTTGGGGTTGTTTGGGATGGTAGCTAGACTTACTGAAGCAAACGTGCCTCCAAGAAAGTTTAGGAGTCGAGGTATTGTCGTAGGATGAGGGTCAGGCTTATTTTGAATGTTGTGGAACTGAAGTCGTCCACCTTCAAAGAAATTGGCAAAACGTGTCAGCAGGAGGGTGAATCCTTACAGCATTCCTTGACGGCTGCCTTGGTTTTCTGAATCCCTGCTTCACCCAATGGTTGTCCGTATGAAATGCAGGAATGGATCCCAATAGAGGCCCCTATTTCATCGCCAATGATATTTAATGGTCATTACTTTTTTTCCTTCAGTATTTCTCGGTGAACAACCATTACGTTTAAACCCCAATCCATGAAAGGTCCTGAGAAGCGTGCCGTATGCGTCTCTTATAAATACCAAATGGAGGTTTCCCAGAATTAGGTGTACCTTTTAGGGCCCCCCCAAAACAAGGAAATTCGTATTTTGGGGCTACCGAAAATGTTTTGGATTTTGAAGGTTTTGGGATTTCCACAAGCTCTGCTGCATGGCTGCATGCCATGCGCCAGAAGCGCGAGTAGTGGGAATTCCGTGCGCTCCAGATCTGTTTACATTACAATTCCAGCATCAAATTTTCTAAGCTCCCCTAATTCCAATCATCAAGGTCTATGGTACTCAAATACTCAGCCTAGGGTCATGCAGGATGTTTGGTATCAACCGGAGTCCCTGACCGTAGAACAACAACAGCTAAACCTGATTCAAAAGTGGCCTCGAAAAATGCTCCTCCTGCCCTACTGCGGCTAGTACCATACCCAGAAGTGCCGTAGTCGACGTAGAAGACCAGAAGAGGTAGTAGTATTCGTACTCTGAGTAGTAGAAGAAGTAAGTAACGGTAGAAGTAGAAGCACAAGCAGTAGGAGGACGAGGACCAGTAGTACCGCTGACACCATTCCTACAACTACCGCTGCCATTGCCACTGCCACCACCAACCGCCAAAGCGCTGCACCTGGTCAGGAGAGAAGGTCCCCATCCAAGCATGACACGAAGCCAATGGCATGCGGACGGGTGCCACCAGGCATTGTAGCCAAATCTTTTGAGGAAGAGTCTAGCAGTCTTGGCGAAGGAACTCTTTGGGGTGTGGGGCAAATAGCCTTCGGTGATTTGTACTTATTCTACTGGCAGAGTCAATGTTGTGGTTGATTGCCTTCATACTACAAGAAGTATTCGTAATCAAGTGTGTAATGCTTTGTAAGTTTATTCCCAATCCCGCGTTGACTTTAGTGCTAACCAGGACACCTGGGACACCCTAAGTGTTACGAATAGGTTAAACAGGTAGAAAATGCGGAGCAGATTGTAGCATTGCAGGGTAAACAGGTAGAAAATGCGGAGCGGATTTTAGCATGCCAGCATTCGGGCCACACTTGTAACAACAGAAGCAGGTTTCAGGCTTCACTACTTGTTTAGGACATCGAGTTGAGGTGGTGAGCGTGGCTGTATAGGGTGTAGATGCATGTAGGAATTGGGTTCTTGGGTTCCGGGTGTAGCGGCACTATGGGGATCGCCATTGCTGCAAGTTGCTACTGGGCCGCCCCATCCTCCTCGTCCTGCTTCACTGCGGCTGCTCCCGATGCCCCTACAGGACTGCTATTATTACTAGTGCTGTGGCGCTGCTGCTATGTATCTTGCTAGTGCTTCTTCAGCTGTGGTTGGTTCTGCTACAAAACTCCTCAAGCACTGTTCCTGCTTTCACAAGTAATGGCGACCCAACCTGGACCCTCTGGCAGGTTTGCTGCTGAGTACGAAGTCGCCGGAAGCTTGCCAGCAGAAACACCTTTGACTGCGGTCCACTTTTTTTTGGTCTGCGGAGTTTTTGAGTCAAGTCGTAGGCTGGCTGGAGATTGGCATTCTGGTAAGCTCCGGCTTATTCCCTGTCATTCGTTGGCTCACACCTCAGCATTGTAGGCTTGGACACAGGCAGGGCCAGCAACCAAAGCATCTGACAGCCAAAGCAAAATGAGTGGATGCGCTCAGAGAGCTGAATTCGTGCAGGCCATGGAGTTCGGTAGTGCGTGTCGAAATGAATGGCTAGCCACAGGTCATGGAGCCCTAGAAGGTGTCTTTACCCTGTTGCTGCTGATGGTGACAATGTAGATCTTTCTTGCTTCAGACAATGTAGATACTGTAGTAGGTGATGATGATGATGATGATGATGATGGGGACCTTTTTGCTTGCTCGTTCTCTCTCACCCTTAAATTTGAGATGCAAGATGCCTTGTGTGAGTCATGATCCTGACGCCAAGGATGTCAACTCGTTAAGCAGCCCGAGCTTTCACTCCATGAGCACCTACATGCCAGCGCCTGCGAGTCATGATGACTCTCCAGATGACGAAGAGGATGACCTGACCTGGTGTCTTAAGCTTTGGGTGTTCATTTGTAGAATGTCGGTCTGGAAATGGCTTATCTGATGCACGGCACGGGCAACGGAATCGGAACGGCATCGGATCGGGTACGCATGGAGCGAAACGAAACGGGAACCGCAAGGAACGCTGAACGGAATTGAACGCAAAGCGAGACAACCCGCGTTACAGAACATAACACGGACGGAATGGACGGAACGGAACAGACTGCAGAACACGGTACAAGCCAAAATTGCGGAATGGAATCTCACCGAACAGGAAAACCTTTTTGCTGCTTCTGTGAAGTTTGACGGTTGGTTCGTCCAGGGCATCATAAAGCAGAGCTCTTGCGGCGGGCAGTCAGTATGTTGAAAGACCCCATACAGCAGTCAGGTGGTCCCATTGCGTGGAGTAACCCAGCCCAGACTCCTGATTAATTATGAACCCCCTCCCCTTAATAGGGACTATAATAGGGATCCTAATATTCAGGCCATTAAAAGGAGGGGGTTTATTAATCATGGGTCTACATAATGCATTTCTTGTGTCGGAGGAGCAGCTTGACGGCCTCCAGTACCCGGTGACCGCTCCGCCGATGGGGGGACCTGAGTATGACCAGTGGTTAGCGCAGCTTCCGTCCATCGGCTCGGCAAATCACTTCAACGGCACCTGTGGCTCGGTTCTGCTTTGGGACTTTGGGATGGCTTTGAAGTTTTGATATCATCGTCAATGAACCCTCAGATTAGTCCAAGGGAGGACTCTTGTTGTACAAGCTCTGTCGACTGCAAGCGAGGTGATCGCTGCTGCTTCCATCCAAAGGGCCGGTGTGTGAACGGCTACAGCTGTCAGCACTGCCACTTTGACCATGAAAAGCGCAAGCGCAAGGGCAAGAAGCGCACAGAGAGAGCGCTGGAGTTAGGCTCCGACATTGGTTCAATGCCCCCCTCAATGCCCCCCACGCCCCATGAGGCCTTCCACATGATGCTCCCAGAGTATGCTGCGCACCCTCCGCCACCCTTCCATGACCCGGGCATGGAGATGCCACTCGCCCCATGGTATCCCCCTGAGCTGCCCAACCCAATGGTTTACCCTCCCCCTGGCATGAGCCCAGACCCTTGCATTCTCCACGAAGACAGCCGGGATGAGTACATCCTCAAGCTTGAGGAGGAGAATCGCTATCTTCGTAGCATGCTCCTGCAGCACATGGGGCCCGGTGCCGCCCTGCCTCCTTCCGTGGTGCACCCCAGAGCTCAAGTAGCTTCAGCACCTCCCGTTGAGGGACCCCCAGGCCTCAGCCATGTACCGGTGGCAGAGCTTCAGAATACGCAGACCTCCCTGCTGCTTGCCTCTGTTTACGGATGTGTTCTGTTTGATGCTCTAGTAAATCCTGCACGATGTGCGGTACCCAAGCGGTGCCAGATCTTTTTTCAAAATCGCACGTTCCTAGATTCCTAACCACAGAATTCTTAAACCCCAACCCAAGCCCCAGACAAAAACCTTGAACACAACGCTGCAGTAGATAGTCAGATAGTCGGTGGATGACAAGTGCTGTCCTCATATTCCCTTATGTATCCCCTAAATTCCTATGTATATGTATACATTTAGATACATATACGTACATATACACACATACACACACAGACACATATATATATATATGTACATACACGCATGAATATCCTTGCAAGCCGAAGGTCTGCGGGGGCGCCACCTTTTTGCCCCGGCTTCGGAGCCTGGTCGGAACCGCCTGCTGTGGCAGGCCATGGGGCTTTGATTTCGGGGATGAAGACTCAGATTGAGGTTATATTGGGATAATGGAAAATAAAATGGAAACTACTATTTGGGGTTTAGGGTTTAGGGTTTAGGATTCGTTTACGTGGGTTCTCGTCTAAAAACCTCAAAGGGGGCGATGTAAAGGATTATTTTAGGGGACTACTATAGGGGTTATTAGGGAGGATACGAGGAGTCTAGTCAATGGTTCAAATGGAAGAGAAGAAGGGATAATGGAATGGAAGCTGGGAGTACATGGTTATAGAGGTTTATAGGCTCTCGGGCCATGTAGGACATGCAACCTATATCCTCCTATGGTTACAGTCTACGCTAGTGTCTCGTAGTATGCCTAGCTAGGTAGCAGGCCCGTGGGGTTTGATGGTTGAGGATGTAGGGGGCTACAAAGTTCTTTCGCTACAGGGGCCTCTAGGGGTTATATATTGCGGTATATAGGTTGTATAGGTCATATAGGGTTGTACAGGGGTTATATAGGGGTATATAGGAGTCGTACACGGGCTTATACTCAAGTCATAACCAGGTAATGCACTATAGTCCCTTATAGCTGCTCTTATGGGTAACGCTAGGGTTTCATGATCTAATTAACTGAGGTTCGATGGTTGAGGGTAGCGGGGGGAGAGGGCTAGGCTTTACGGCCCGGGCTTTCGAGCTGTGGTTGAGGGTTTATGACTCATGTAGGGTTCAGGCTTCAGGTTGCAAAGTTCATGTTTAAGGCTAGGGTTTAGGGTTTAGGGTTTAGCGTTCAGTGTTTAGAGGAGAGATTGTTGAGGTTCAGGATTCAGGTTTGTGGGTTAAGTTGCAGGTTTTGCGACCGAGAGTGAAGTATGCAAGGTTTTTGTGTCTGAAACATTTCGATCAGGATTTACACATGTGTGGGGAGATGCCAGCCTACAGAAACCTTTCCCTGTGGGGTTCGGGTTACGGCTATGGGTTCATGGCTCAGCAGCAAATATGAGGCATAACAAGGAATTACCATTTTCTTTTTCCATTTTGGTTCTCCATTGTTGGAGTATATGTCCCCATATGAGCCATTGTTTAAACTCCTAGAGCTCATATAATCACAATGTAGACCCACGCAGGCAGCCTGGCAACAGCTGCGCTGCACCACACGGGCTTGGCGCCAAACGTTAGACCGCCGGGTCCCGCATAAGGCCGGCCCTTTTTTTTTTCTTTGTTTCTCCCGGCTCCAAGGCCCATAATAACAGTTTCCAGTTTCTTTTCCATCAATACACTATCATATACTATATAAACCAATATAATATAGCAGTTTCCATTTTCTTTTCCATTCTCCCTATATAAGCACAAGCCTAAAAGGCCTGGCTTTTACCATGGTTCCAGGGCAGGCTCAGGGTTGTGCTCTTTGGAAGTAAGCTCCAGTGAGGAGGCAAATCTTTGCACTTCTGCAAGTCGGTACGTAAATGAAGGCGAGCTAGCTACTGGAGTTCATGGGTCACTGAGGTGTCACCTAGGCCCTAGGCTTCATTGCCAAGGTGGGTTACGTCTGGCCCTCCTAGCCTTATGGTGGGATATCCTTCTTTGTCTAGGGTTGGCTTACTCGTGCGCGCATGCTGCGTGCGTTTCTTGTGCAGGACCGACACATTTCATCTCTGAAGCAAGTGCAGTTCATTAGCGCCTAAGTAGGTGGAAGTTAGTACATGCTCTGGGGGCTTGTAGGTATTGGTGAGCTTACCTATCATCCCCAACAACCCGGCTTACAAGCCGGAAGTGCCAAGTAGATTGCTCCTCCGAGTAGGGTGCGTTCTCCGCAGTGCGCTGCAGGGACAGTCCAACAAGAGGCACGCGATCAAAAGCGGGGCGCTAAGGCTGATTTTCTCTGAGAGATGCCAGTTCCTATAAGTAGGGACCCTTAGATAATCCCGAAATACCATATTCCTTATTATGGTGACTCCCAACAGGGTGGCTCCTTTTTTTTTGCAAGCCCCCACATGGGGCTGGTCTTCGTTGCATAAGGCTGAGGCTGCTCAAGGCCCTGTACGGAGCAAAAACCTGGTAAGGGTCACAGGCCTGTGTTTCTACCAGCAAGAAGCCTCAGCAGAAAAACCATGGTTGAAGAATGCAATGAGGCAGGCCTGTCCGGATCACAAAGAACAATCATTACCCATGGCAGCATGTCTAACCCTTGGTTGTACCCCAATGACTGAGACCCCGCCACGCCCAGAAGAACCCGCGCCTGGGCCTAAACTCCAAACCCCCATCAGCAACCGACGTGGCCCAGGCCTCGACGATGCCTCTACAGTTGGCCGAGTGACGCAGGGCTTCGCTTCGGGAGTCTCTGGTTATACCAGTTGGCCTTAGCTTGCCGGCAACATGGAACTCATTCGCAGTCCTACGCATGCAAAAGTGAGCATTGTCTTCAGCTTGCACTTAGGGTGTAGGGTTCAGGGTTCAGGGTTAGACCTATATAGGTTATTTGCAGAGACAGAAAGCAAGAGCGACATGCCGCTGGTGTATGGCCAAATGTATACCAGAAGATGGATGCCAAGCTCTGTTACTACAAGCAGGAGATATGATCCCACGCCCCTTTGCACGTGTCATGCTTCCCGAGGTTTCCATTCCAGCTGCATAGCTTTACTAGTAGAGGACCCTCAACTTCTTGAGCACAGATGCTTCTTGCTTCTTTGATGCAGCCGGCATGTTAGGTGTCAGTGATGTCCTGATGCGCGGACATGTGTTAGGAGATTATGGAAGGACCAGAGGTGTCTGAGACGGAGCGAGGATCTCCGCCATTCAGGTATATGGTAGTTTCCCAAGATAGGAGGACCCCAGTATAGATCCCAAATTACTATGACCCTTAATATCGGGACCCCCAAGAAGGTACCCCTAATTTTGGGAAGGCCTAAACCCCAAACCCTAAATGGTAGTTGCCAGTGTCTTTTCCATTCTCCCTATGTAACCCCTTTGTAGACCGCCAAAATTTCCCCTAATTTTGGGAAAGCCCCATATAGTTGAGAAAAAAGGGTCCTGCTATCTCGCTTTGGGGACTGCGCGATGTAAGAAGCGTTGATGGATGCGGGACGTGGAATGCTTTGTTGTTGTCCTTGAAGTGGGCCGATGGCCTGAACTGCTTGATTTTTTTTAGCCCTTTTACAACAGTAGCATATGCCAAATTACGCTCTAAACCCTAAACCCTAAACTCGGACGGTCTTTGCCGTGCTTGCTTGTGCGATGCGTGTGTCTAAACCCTAAACTCTTGTTCTATTCTACTGTACTTGTTATTCCCTCAATTGTTTTGGGCCTGGGGTTCTCATTCTGGGGGAACCTCATGCTTTCAATTGGTGATCCCTTTGGTTGTTTCTAAGAATTTGTTCAAGGCTTAGGGCCCCCAAGCTAGGTATGGAAAAGCCCGGGTTATGACCACGTAGTATCCTATAGTCCTATCCAGTCATGTTTATAGATGAAATTGGTGGCCACTGCCTACCCCCCCAGTAGGCTGAAGCCAAAATGGTGTAGTCCAGCCGAAGCCGCATCGGCATCTGCAAGTTTTTTCTAGTTGAATGGAATATGTAGAGATTCTGTAGGGATGCATAGGGTGTCCTGCCCCTCCAGCTTTCAAAGCAAAGTCTTGTACTAAGGCCTTATATGGGAGTTTCTCGAAACGGCCACCATAGAATCCTCAAGGGGCAGGCGCAGACTCCTCTACCCCCCCACACATGGCTTGTCTGTACTCCGACGAAAACCCCAAATGGCCTAAGAATCAGTCACCTTTGATCTACCATGCTTAGAAAGCTCACTTGCCTGCGCTGCGGGCGGGGCGCTGAAAACAGCGCAGCTTAGAGGGTCCGGGCCCACTCGAGGAGATCATGAGGTTTCTGGAGCGCAAATCAACAGTAATGAAAGCAACCGCTAAGAAGAAGAGGAGGAAGAGGCAGAGGAGTATGAAACGGATAGCTAGCACATCAGACCAAGCAAACATCAACTCCAGCAAGCAGATTTCTTCACAGTAGTGCAGGGGAGGCAACAGCATTGCAAGCAGTTTTCAATGAGCTGTCCCAAAATGATTCTGTCTGGAAGGAGTTGACAGCTCTGGGTGGCACACAAATTCATATTACTCAGAACAGCGAGAGTGAAGATGGCACATCGAATACGTGTCTGTAGCAAGATGTTTGTAATGGCGAAGCGGCAGGGACAGCAGGACAGCTTCAAAGAAATTAGGCGATTTCTTCAAGTAGCACAGTGGCCATGCGTTTTCAGAACAGAGCTGACTCCAGGCTTGCGTTTGATACGTTCATGAGCAAGGAATCGAAAGAGATGGGCCCAAACTGCTTGCGGCAGGTAGCGATCGCCAGCTGAACCGTAGAAATGTCTGCTTCTCAAAGCACAGGAGCCCCGTGTAACGGACCCGTGCAGTCGCTTATGACCCTTAGGCAATCGTAGGATGGTGGAGGGTCCCTTCCCTCCCATGACTTGAAGTTGCCCTGTGCCATAGACTGGTGCGCATGTTGAGCACGCGGAGAGGAATCTTGAATGACTATACTGGGTAGGCCCTTGGGATATTTCACATTTTCCCTAATTGCTTGTATAGGGGACCCTATATACTAAGAGGTGCGTTCAACTTGAAAAGTGCTATCCCAAATGAGCCATAGTGTAAACTCCTTGAAGGGGGTTATATAGGGGATTCTATAGGGGACTACTATAGGGGTTAGTAAGGGGGACATTAGGACTTTAGACTATAGCTCAAATGAGCAGGGGCCCGCTGTTTTGAGAAGCTGGCAAGCAACTTGGGCCACAGGATGGGAGCCCGGATAAGCCAAAACAACGCCTGTTGGAGGGATGAGGGCTTAGGGTTTAGGATGAAGGGTTTAGGGTTGTCTTCAAGTTCGAACGAAGGGAAATTCTCAGCGTTAGGGTTTCCTGCTGGAAAGGGCAAGGCCAAGCAAGGATGAAGCAAGGTTTTACCTCCATGTACTACTTACCCGGTAGTTTGAAGAAAAGTAGGCATGCCTCCTGGAAGGCTCCAGGACTTTTGGTACGGCTTGGGCAGTTTCCATAGCAGTGTGCATCAGATGATGCAGGGTTTTCCGTAGGGTCTAAGCCAGGGAAGGGCTTCACAAGGGCTAGCGCGTGTTGGTGACCCTTCTACTGTGCATGATCGCTAGTGCGACTGCCTCCCGCATCGTTTGGAGGCTGTGCAGGACCAAAGTAGGAGTGCATACTGGCTAGATGCCTGGTGGGGCCATGTCACCTGAGGACTTAGTCTCGCTTTTTTGTTGTCTCATAGACTGAGCCCAACAAGTCAAAACCTCAATCCCAAACTGGGGGACAAAGAAAAAATTCCCAGAGTCCAGGGCTGAGGGTTTATAGTCCCCCTTAAGTAGACAGAATATGGGGTATATGGGGATCTTCTTATACGTAATATAACCCAAAGCCATATTCTATCTACTTAAGGGGACTATAGGGTCCAAAGGGATCCCTGGCTTAGGTTTTCTTAGTGGCTCTTAGTAGGGAATATGGGAATATATCATGTTTAATATAGGGGATTATACTACCTTATAGGGGATTATACTACCTTATTCCCTGCTAAGAACCTGTAAGTTTTTCATGGCCTGCACTCCCTGAAGGGTTGTCCGGCGTCCCCGCAAAGAAGTGAAGGGTCCAGGTAGAGATTGCACCTCGCTGAGCCGGGCCTCTCACCCTGGCCGTCAGGGGGCAGACATTCAAGGGGAGCCGAAGAGGATCCAAGGGGTTAGGGGTTCAGGGTAGGTCGTTTAGGGTCAAGGGATTAGGGATTAGAGTCTCTATGCAGAAAACTGTCCAATTCTAATGGAGCTGAGGACTCGACAGGTGGGGTGCTCATGCTAACATAGCTGGCTACACACGGACGTATCAGAAAGTCAGGCCCAGTGATGCTCAAGGCGTCAGGCGGGATTGAATCCTTTCAATAAGACAAACAAAATGGTGGAGCAGTATGTCCCCCTTAAAGAGATAGAATATGGAATTCCCAAAATCATAATAAGACGTCCATATAACCATATTGTATCACTACTTAAATGGGGCTATATTCATATTCGTTCGTAAACTCCTGAAGCACCAGTAAGCAGGCATAGGAGGTCATGAGCTTGGCTTTGGATTTGAGTCCATGAACCTGCAAACATTGAGCATCCTTCATCATCGTTTGGTAGAATTGTGCTG